TGGGGGGTGAACCAATGGAAGGAAGACCTTTCCCTCTCTCTCTCTCTCTCTGTCTAACTCTACCTGTCAAATAAACAAATAAAATCCAAAAAAAAGTAAAAATGTACTTATTTGAAAAATTTGCAGTATTAGGAGGGGGGTTTCTATGCAAAACACATAATCTGAGAGAAGTGATCAATTATTTCTTTCCAATTTTTTGCAGTTTATTTCTTTTTTCTTACATTATACTAGTTAGGATCTCCTCTATAATGTTAAATAGAATTGGTAGTAGAGCATATCTGTTTCATTTATGATATCAGAAGGAAAGTTCTCAATATTTCACCACTGAAGAACTTGGTGAATAATTTTTATTAGATTAAGCAAATTTCTTTTAATCATAATTTATTAAATTTTTATCATACATGTGGGTTGAATTTTGCCCAATGTTTGTAATGAGTCTATTGATCTAATTTTTGCCTTTTGTTCTTCTCATGTACTTAATTAAATTGGATGTTAAATTATCCATGTATTCTTTTTGTTAAAGAGTCATTTTATTTATTTGAAAGGCAGAGTTACAGAGAGAGAGGGAGAGATAGATCTTCCATTTGCTGGTTCACTCCCAAATGGCTGCAACTGTCAGGGCTGGGCCAGGCTGAAGCCAGGAACCAGAAGCTTCATCCAGGTCTCCCACATGGGTACAGGGGCCCAAGGACTTGGGCCATCTTCTGTTGCTTTTCCAGGTGCATTAGCAGGGAGCTGGATCAGAGGTGGAGTAGCCAGGACTCAAACTGGCACCCATATGTATCCATGTATTCTTACAACTAATTTTACTTGCTTATGATATATCACCCTTGTTATATATCAGTCAGTGGTTTTAATTTTTTTTAGGATTTATTTATTTATTTAATCAAAATTTAGAGTAACAGAGAGAGGGAGGGAGGAAAAGAGAGAGAGATTGATTTATTTTCCATCTACTGACTGACTCCCCAAATGCCTGCATAAGCCAAGGCTGAACCAGGCCAACCTAAAGTCAGGAGCCAGGAACTCCATCCAGGTCTCCCACATGGGTGGCAGAGACCCAGGCACTTGGGCTATCATCCACTGCTTTACCAGGCACCTTAGCAGGAAGGTGGATCAGAAACAGAGCAGCCTAGATTCAAACAGGCACTCTAATATGGAATAACAGAGTTACAAATAGTAGCTTAACCTGCTGTGCCACTACACTGACCCCAGTGTGTTTTATTTAATAATGTTTTGTTTAGCATTTTGACATTCATGGTTGTAACGGTGTTTGATCTGTAAACATAACTCTCTTGTAATGTCCTAGACAGGGTTTATAGAGTTTTTGCTGGCCTCATTAAGATGATTCAGAAGGTGTTCTCCTTTTTGTTCTCTGAAAGAAATGTATAAGATTGATATTATTTCTTCCTTAAGAATTTAGATGAAATATCCAGTGATCATGTGGGTCTGAAGTTTTCTTTCAGAGAAGGTTTTAAATTGGGGTTTCACTTTCTCTAATCAATGGCAACATATTCATATATTCAATTTCTTTCCTGGCAATTTTGTTTCTCAAAGAATTTGATCTTTCACATCTAAATTGTAATATTTATTAGTATAAAATTATTCTGTAGCATAGCAGGTTAAACTGCTGCTTGGGGTCCCTTCATGCCTGAGTCCTATATAGGAGAGCGGGGTTTGAGTCGTAGCTACTCTTGTGATCCAGCTTCTTGCCAATGCACATCTTAGGAGGCAGCAGGTGATGGCTTAGGGACTTAGGCTCCTGCCACTCACGTAGGAGACCCAGATGGAGTTCCTGGCTGCTGGCTTTGGCCTGGCCTAACTCTTGGTATTGAGTAGTTGAGGAATAAGCCAGTAAGATGGAAGAGCTCTGGCTCTCTCACTCTGGCTTTCATATCATTAGGTAAACATCCTTAAATGCCCATTCAGACTATCTCAGATGTCTTAATCTTTAAAAATTATTGACTGTATCTTCTTGTCTTTCCTATTTCTGTAGAATGTATAATGATATTCCATTTTTCATTCTTGATGCACATAGTTTGTGGTTTTTTTTGAACTTTTATTTAATGAATATAAATTTCCAAAGTACAGCTTATGGATTACAATGGCTTCCCCCCCATAACGTCCCTCCCACCCACAACCCTCCCCTTTCCCACTCCCTCTCCCCTTCCATTCACATCAAGATTCATTTTCGATTCTCTTTATATACAGAAGATCATTTTAGCATACATTAAGTAAAGATTTCAACAGTTTGCTCCCACACAGAAACATAAAGTGAAAAATACTGTTTGAGTACTAGTTATAGCATTAAATCTCAATGTACAGCACACTAAGGACAGAGATCCTACCTGAGGAGTAAGTGCACAGTGACTCCTGTTGTTGACTTAACAAATTGACACTCTTGTTTATGGCATCAGTAATCACCCTAGGCTCTTGTCATGAGCTGCCAAGGCTATGGAAGCCCCCTGAGTTCACCGACTCTGATCATATTTAGACAAGGCCATGGTCAAAGTGGAAGTTCTCTCCTCCCTTCAGAGAAAGGTACCTCCTTCTTTGATGTCCCGTTCTTTCCACTGGGATCTCACTCGTGGAGATCTTTCATTTAGGTTTTTTTTTTTCCCCAAGAGTGTCTTGGCTTTCCATGCCTGAAATATTCTCATGGGCTTTTCAGCTGGATCCGCATTCCTTAAGGGCTGATTCTGAGGCCAGAGTGCTGTTTAGGACATCTGCCATTCTATGGGTCTGCTGTGTATCTCACTTCCCATGTTGGATCGTTCTCTCCCTTTTTTATTCTATCAGCTAGTATTTGCAGACACTATTCTTGTTTATGTGATCCCTTTGGTTTTGTCTGTTTCTTTCTGGATCTTTCTTCCTATTCTTTCTCCAGCTACTTTGGGTTTTTCTTTTCTAATATATGCATATAATGCTGTACATTTCTAAGTCTTCCTTTAACTGCATTCTCCATTCTCATTCAGTTGAAAACATCTTTTTAGTATTCAATGTGATCCTTCTTTAATTCATGAGTTATTGTAAATTATAAGGGTACTTCAAAAAGTTCACATAACATGCATATTATAAGAAAAACTATGCATGAATTTGAATATTTTTGCACCAAAACAAACATTTTAATATAGTTCTAAATTCCATCAACTTTTCAAAGTATTGTTTCTGATGAAAAAATCATTTTATAATCATACTTTTTTAAAAGTATGTATATATACTGCTTAAGTATCTCAAAATATATGTAATTTCATTATTGTGGAGTTTCGTAGATTTATTTTAGAGTTTATTTTCTGTTTCTTATTTCTAGAAATAACACATTTTCATTAATTGAAAAATAAAATTATGACTATAAAATGTTTATTTTTCTGAATTTTAACTTAAATGATATTTTTGTCCTTCATGAGTGTTACTTTTTTTCAGTTCACTGTAATTGGTTAATGGAATTAAGAATAATATTATAAGATATAGATCTATTAGATAAAATAAATTAAGTAATATTATGTGGCATTGTATAGTGTGACCTTTAGGTTTCATTTTATGTCTTTTATTTTGGAAATACGATAAAGCATTCATCACAACAATATCCTAAAAGCTCATAATACAGAAATCTTATCTTGTAAAAGAATGATTCTCCTTAGTATCCAAATAAGATGCATTCACTTTCCTTCGTTCATTTCAGTTCAAGAAATAGTTATTGAGCTACTACTATATGGAAATACAAAAACAAATAAACTAAATTCTACACTTTTGTAAAGAAAAACTTAGAAACCTATAATTTCAATACAGTGTGGTGAGTTGTATGACAGAAGTTTATTCACAGTACTACAAAAGAATATACAAGGAGAAGTTGGTCTTTGGTAGAGATCAGAGTAGACTTTTTATAGGATGTAATCCCAGAGCTAAATATTGAGGAAAACAGCACAGGGTTTTTCTTGAGAGAAAAAGAAAGCATGAAGCTTTGCAGCAGCATGGGAATTATTTTTGAAAAGTGTAAAAATGACTTTGGCTCGTATTTATACTCCTATAGAACTGTGGTCTTCCTACTTTTTACTTGTTGATTAGTATTAGTGGTGAATTAAACCTGTGAATATTAGAGTGGATTAAATTACGACTTTGCAAAAACTGATGAAGAGAGAGGGGAGGGAGGGATGTGAATGGGGGAATCAGGGGAGTGAGGGAAGGGTGGTTGTCTTCGTAGAACTATACCTATGGAATGCATAAAATCTGTTCTCTTTATATTAATAAAAATTTTTTTAAAAAGATAACTAAAATGAGGCTGAAAGAATAGGTAAGATTTTTTTCCCCAGAATTCTTGAAAGAAAAAAAAATGTGAAAACTTGGCCATTGCACTAGTTTATAAATCCCAATTATAGAAAATGAAAACACTTCCAGCTTTAGTTGATAGTAAAGTTAAATTCTTCCTACTATGGGATACTCCTTTAAAGAAAATTTAAATGTTAGTGTTTGAATTATAATATGTATAGAAATTTTTCCTAATTTTGAGTATATTTTTAATGTTACTTTAAGAAACTTAACATGTATTTTATAAATTTATACAATTAAATTCTAAGGCAGGCATGTGCACAGTGGGTAAGATACCACTCTGGAGACCTTCATTGCCTATCAGAGTGCATGGGTGTGAGTCCCTGCTCCACTTCCATGATTTCAGTTTCTTGTGAATGCTGAAAGGCAGTAGATGACGACTCAAGTGGTTGGGGCTCTGCCACCCACATTGGATTGAGTTTCTGGATCCCAACTTTGGCCTGGTCCAGCACCAGCTATTGCAGGCATTTGGGGAGTGAACTAATGGATGGCAGATATCTGTATGTGTGTATGTGTGTATGTATGTGTGTGTATGTGTGTATGTGTGTCAGTCTGTCTTCCTTTCAAATAAATAAATAAAGGAATAAATAAAGGAATAAATTCTGAATAGGACCAATTAGGTTTTTCCTTCATTCAAGTTCTTTTATAACTGTTGGTTATTGTTTTATCCTTTGTAGATTTGCTGTACCTCAGGCAGAAGCATCTACGCAGACTTATGGAACTAGAATAGGCATGCTCAGCATCTTCCAACGTATGTTGTTACTGTGTATTATTATTTATAAAAACTTTATTGAACATGTTTATATGCAGATCTCCTTTGATTCTGCTTATTTGTCTCATACTTGCTAATAGTGTAATATAAGTGCTTTAGGTAGATATATAGCTTGGATTTTTGTTTCTGGTTTTCATTTGTATTAGCTCAGGTCATTTTTAGTACCTATTTACTTAGGTACAGATCAATTTGGTATCATCCCAGAAGTTAAAGAAACTAAAAATATACTTACTAGTTTGTTTCTTTGGTAGTAATTCATCCCTTCAAATGTACTGTTTTTAGTTAACAGTAGTTAGTTTTTGTAATCTTTACTAATTGATAATAAAGATAGATAAAAGTAAGTTATATTTCCTTTCTTTGATATTCAGTTGACTGATTTGAACTTTGTGTTCATTTCTGAAGTGATTTCATAATGCAATTTAGTTCTGTTAGGGTGTTCTTAGTATTATTTGGTTTAAATCAGATCTCCTAAAGGATCATCTCTCTGGAATAGGCTTTTTTTAAAAAACACTTTATCACTCTCTTGCTTTTAGTGCTGTTCTTGCTTTGTTTTCATTGTCCATCTAAAGAGAAGTGATACTGTCATTTTATTTCATACTGTCATCTTATTTCATACTGTCTTGTTAAATTTGATGTCTCAATGAATATTTCCAAAGTATTTTGGTATGATTTTTGTTGATTGTTACATGATATGAAACTGGGACATTTTGAATGGTTATGTTTTAAAAATTTAAATCTTGCTTTAAATATTGTCCATCTGTGCTAATTTTACCTATTGTGTTTATGTAGGCTAGTAATAATAAATTTTTATTTCTCGTATCATATTCTAGATAGACTTCTCTGAATAAGGTTGAATACATTGTCTAAAAATTACAATGAACACTTTAGATCATTTCAGAAAAAATATAATCTTGGGACTCATGAATAAAAATTGATATTCCTCTACTAGGTATAATTTGAAACTAAATAAGAAATGTTTTTTGGAAAATTGATCTTACCTGGAACATAAATTCTAAAAATGAAGGAAAAAGATCATGACTGTTTTTGGGTTTTATGATTCTCTGCTGAAGACCCAAGAAAGAATTAAATTTCAATTCATCACCTTGGTTATAAAACTTCATAAATGTTTTATATTAACATCTGCTTTGATTATCCTTTCTGTTTTACCTATAGAAAGTAATAGGGTGCATCCTACACTTATATAATGATAGTGCCAGCCACTTACTGAACATTTATACGCCAGGTACTATGCTGAGCTTATTCTGTACATTTTATTTATCTCATAGGGAGTGATTATTTAAAGTTAATCTCACCTTTTCTCTCTTGTTTCATACTGTTTGGGAGGAAAAATTTGTGTAACTGTCAGGTTATCTTTCATTTGCTAACTGAAATGAAAGAGTAGAATTGATTGACTCTTAGGCAAGAAAAAGAAGTAAAACACAAGTAGCCTGCTAGGCCTGCCAACAGGCATTTATTGCAGAAGTTAAGACTCCAGCAATGACTGCATCCCATATCAGAGTGCCTGGGTTCAAGTCCCAGCTCCACTCCTGATTACAGCATTCCTCTTGGAGGCAGCAGGTAATGACTAAAGTAGTTGAGCCCCTGCCACCTAGTGGAGGGCCTGAATTGAGTTCCTGGCTCCCAGCTTCTCTCTGCATCCTCCCCTCCCCCAGGCATTGCAGGCATTTAGGGAGTCAAGCAGCAGATGGGAGTGCTCTATATGTATGTGTTTCCATGCATGTGTATATATATGTCTCTGCCTTTCAAGTAAATAAATGAAATATTAATAGTCATAAAGTATAAGGAATTCAAAAACTCAACATCAAAAAATCACCCTGTCCAGTTAAGAAATGGGCAAAGGATCTGAATAGATATTTCTCAAAATAAGAAATATAAATGGCCAACAAATATGTGAAAAAATGCCCCATACCAGCAACTGTTAGGGAAGTGCAAATCAAAACTAAAATGAGATATACAGTTCTCTAAGAAAGCACAACAAACAGAATGTGTAGACATCTAAGAACAAAGCTTCAAAAGGCATCCTGGCTGCTGGCTTCGGATTGGCTCAGCTCCGGCCATTGAAGCCATCTGGGGAGTGAACCAGCAGATGTAAGACCCCCCCCCCCCGTCTTTCAAATAAATAAAATAATATTTTTAAAAAAGGCATCAAACAAAACTGATAAAACCAAAAAACAAAGCAGGCAAATCCAGAATTAGTGTAAGACTATGATACCCTTTCAAATATTGATAGCAAAAACTAGAATGAAAATCAGTAAGGATATGGAAGATGCTAACAACACTGTCAACCAACTTGATCTAATTGATACTTATAGAACACTCTACCTAACAACTGCAAAATGCATTTTCTTTTTAAGTACCTACAGAACATTTAACAAAATAGTCCATATTGTGGCCAAGAAAAAGACTCAATCACTTAAAAGAATTTAGGAAAAATAATTAAACCCAATTGAAATAGATGCAGGAAATTGCGTATGTCATTAATTCCAAGATTTTTATTTTTGGGATGAGTGTTGTGATGCAGCTGGTTGAGTCACCTCTTGGGATGCCCATATACCTTAGCAGAATGCCAGTTCACGGCTTGGTTGCTCTGCTTACTATCCAGATGCTCCCTGCTAATGTGCCTGGGAAAGAAGCAGAAAGTGGCCCAAGTACTTGGGCCCCTGCCACCCATGTGGGAGTCCCAGATGGAGTTCCAGGTCCTGGCTTTGGCCTGGCCTAGTCCTGGCCATTGCAGCCCTTTGGGGAGTGAACTAGCAGCTGGAAGATCTCTCTCTCTCTCTCTTTCTCTCTCACTCACTCTCTGTTTCTCTCTCACTTTCTGCGTTTCAAATAAATACAGAGATCTTTAAAAATAAATACATAAAGTTAACTACATTTTTTTTGACAGGCAGAGTTAGACCGTGAGAGAGAGAGACAGAGAGAAAGCTCTTCCTTCTGTTGGTTCACCCCCCAAATGGCCGCTACGGCCGGTGCGCTGTGCAGATCCGAAGCCAGGAGCCAGATGCTTCCTCCTGGTCTCCCATGCGGTTGCAGGGCCCAAGCACTTGGGTCATCCTCCACTGCCCTCCCGGGCCACAGCAGAGAGCTGGACTGGAAGAGGAGCAACTGGGACTAGTACCCGGTGCCCCAACCGGAACTAGAACCCGGGGTGCCGGCGCCGCATGCAGAGGATTAGCCAAGTGAGCCGTGGCGCCGGCCAAAGTTAACTAAATTTTAAGAAATTATTTTCATTTTTGTACATTTTAACACCTCTAAAATTGAGATGCATATTTGAAAATTATTAATACACCATGATTTAATTGGTGCTATATTTTTATTAGTGGCACGTAAAATAATGATATGTTTTATAACTAATAGTGTTTGGGGTTCAACAAATTATAGAATAAAATTTGGAGCACAGATTAGTGAAATACATAAAAGAAATAAGGAATGGCAAACCTAAAGTGTTCTTTGAAAAGACTTGATACAAATGAGAAACCTCTAGCAATACTATCAGAATAAGAGAAAACAAACAACAAAGATGTATAAATGAAAGGGTAGGAAACTAATGATAAAATAATCATTTTAAAATCACAAAAGATCAAGTATATATAATAGCATTTATATATATTTCTAAAAACAATGCCAAGCTATTTATTGTGCATATATACATATATAGGAATCTACTCTAGATTGGAAAAATATATAGCAGATAATGATATTAGTTCTGTTTGAGAAAGGAAGAAAGATTAGAATGGGACTAGGAAGAGTAAAAAGAGATTTAAACCTCATCTTTAATGTTCTGTTTACTTTATTGAAAAGTATAGGAAACAACCTGATGTGAGCAAACCAAATGCAAGTAATTTATTAGACAGTGGAAGAAATTTAAACAAAATATTTGATAATATTTAAACATTAGTGGTAGATGTCCAGCCCAGTGGTTAAGAAGCCTGGGTTCGGGGCCAGTGCTTTGGCGTAGCGGGTAAAGTCGCCAACTGCAATGCTGACATCCCATCCCATATGGGCACCAGTTCGAGTCCTGACTTTCGATCCAGCTCTCTGCTATGGCCTAGGAAAGCAGTGGAAGATGGCACAAGTCCTTGGGCCCCTGCACCCATGTGGGAGACCTAGAAGAAGCTCCTGGCTCCTGGCTTTGGACCTGCGCAGCTCTGGCCATTGCAGCCATCTGGGGAGTGAACCAGCAGATGGAAGACCTCTCTCTCTCTCTCTCTCTCTCTGCCTCTGTCTCTTTTTAACTCTGCCTTCAAATAAATAAACCTTCAAAAAAAAGAAAGAAACCTGGGTATGGGTCCCAGCTCTACTTCCAAATCCAGCTTCCCACAGTGGGGACCTAGGGAGTTAGTAGGTGATGGCTCAAGTGGTTGGGTCCATGCCACCCACAAGGGAGACCTAGATTGATCGCCCAGCTGTTAATTTGTAGGCATTGAGGAGTGAACCAGCAGATTGATTGGAGTGATCTCTCTCCCCCCCAATATAAATAAAATTTATTGATACTAATTTTAGGTATAATTATATCGTGCTTATTTTCATTTTTAAAAGATTTCCCTTTTTTATTTATTTGAAAGGCAGAGTGACAGAGAGGGAGAGTCAGAGAAAAATAAATAAGGGAAAGGAGATCTTCCATCCTCTGGTTCACTCCCCAAATAGCTACAGCAACCAGGTCTGGGATATGCTGAAATCAGGAGAGCCAGAATTCCATCCCGATCGCCTGCTTTGATGGCAGTGGCCCAGGTACATGGGCCATCTTCCATTGTCTTCCTGGAACATTAGCAGGGAACTGGATAGGAAGCAGGGCAACTGGGGCCCAGAATGGTAATCTGATATGGGATGCCATCATTTCAAGTGACAGCTTAACAAGCTGCACCACAATGCCAGCCTTGATGTTTCTTTTAAAAATCTTTATCTTTTAAAGATACATTCTGAAGTGTTTATAGATGACACAGTATCTCCAGGATTTG